GATTTGTCCGTAGAGTTCTGACTCCCTGGTATCTCGTAGATTTATAAAATGTAAGGTGAAGCTTGATTGATATGGAAGTAGTGTTTCGTCTTTTTTTTCTTTTTTTCTTTTTTTTACCCCCGAGGGTACATCCTTCAACCTTTAAGAGACTGTATTTCTCTAAACACAAAAAACGGAGAGAAAAAGATGTTAGTAGAAGTAATGGCCATAGAGACTGCCACTGAACAACAAACCCTCCAGAGGTTGTGTCTCTCAGAAACCGGATCTGGGAAGATAACGTTCGGCTTCTCCTACAGCGGATATTTTCCCCTCGGCTGTCCTTAGGGGGAAATTTGTCGACCGAATTTCCTAATTAATCCGAAAGTCCAAGAAAATATTATCTTTATTATTTTTTTTTATGAATGTTTCATAATCTGTGATATGTGGGCTTTATTATCTGATTCTGTTTCTATCTATTATCTCTTTTTTGCTTTTTTATCTCTATGCCTGTCTGTCTGTTTCTCTGGTTATTTTAAAATCCAACACTTAACTTTATTTTCTTCTTCTTCGACTTATCTTATACATCTATTCATCTCCTTTCTCTCTCTCTCTCTCTCTCTCTCTCTCTCTCTCTCTCTCTCTCTCTCTCTCTCTCTCTCTCTCTTTCTCTCTCTCTCTCCCTCTCTCTCCCCTCCATCTCTCTCTCTCTTTCTCTCTCTCTCCCTTCCCTCCATCTCTCTCTCTCTCTCTCTCTCTCTCTTCCCTCCATCTCCCTCTCTCTTTCCTCCCCCCCTACGCCCATCGCCCTCTCTCTCCCGCCCACCCACCCTCTCCCACCCACACACCCACAAAGCACTCGAGTCGCGTCTGTCTCGACGCCACAAATGAAATCATCGCCCCAATTTCCTGTCAAGAGAAGGGAAAACGAGGTAGCCTTATCTTGACGCCGAGTAGAGTTAGTTCCCGATGACCATGCGATTCCCTTCATTAGGTAAGTAGGTAACAGATGGTGTCGTTGCGGCGAAGGGAAGGGGGAATAGGGAAGGGGAGGGGGGGGGCAGGAGAGGGGGGAGGAGGGGGGGAGGAGTGGGGAATGGGAGAGGAGGAAAGGAAGGGGGAAAGCTAGAGGAAGTGGAGGGAAGGAGGAATGGGGTTAGGGAAGGGGAGAGAGAGGAAGGAGGAAAGGGGTGAGGGTAGGATGCGATAAGGAGAGGAAGGAAAGACAAACAGGGGATAGGAAGCCATTTTAAAACCCTTTCCTCCCAAACAGGAAAACATAAATCAACCACCCAACCAATGCTAAATGAACACATATTAAAAACACATCTAACATGTCAAAGAAACAGAACATCACGTTAAGCGGCCCCTCGTATCGACCGCTCCCTCCCTCCTGCCGGGCTTTTGACACCCACCAAAGGGCTACATTACCTCTCAGTCACCAAACAGCAAGACAGACAGCTGATGATTGGGCGACGCAGCCGACGCCTCTGTTTGATCTGTTTCTGTTTGAGGTTTCTCGATACATATCGGCGTTCCTTCGCTATATGCTTTTGTGTCTGATGTGTGCTGTATTTTAAGGGAGGGGAAGGGAGGAAAGGGGGAAGGGGGGAGGGGAGGGGGATGGAAGAGTGAATTCGTGTCTATGGGATAGATTCTTTTCTGAAGGTGTTTTTGGTGATTGCGTTCGTCTGTGCTTTCGGATTTTTTGAGAAAATGATTTGACAGATGTACATGTTTTTTGTTTTTGTTTTATCATTATTATTATTACTTCTATTATCATTATCATTATTATTATCATTATCATTATCATCATTTCCATTATCATTATCATTATCATTATCATTATCATTATTATTATTATCATTATTATTGATGCATTTTTTTAGTTTTTAAAAAGTTCATAAGATTAGAATTTTTGGTGAATATTTATTAAGATTATGGAGATACAATGAGCTGTGTCTAGCTCCTTGCAATGTATATAGCGTATGGTCGATTGTATTTTGGTAATTTTGATAAACTGATTTCACGCAAGTATATGATTTTGAATAAATAGTTTTAATGCATAATTTATGTGAACATCAAAAAATATACACACACGTATATATAGGTATACGTATACATATATTTGATAAAAGACATTGGATGGATTTTTTTCGACTATGCCTTAATACTAATAAATATACAGTAATCAATTTTTCTCTGCCCAATCGTTTTTTCATTTTATTATTATTATTATTTTTTTTTTTTTTTTTTTTTTTTGTTAAATATAAAAAACACTATTTACTTGGACACATGCATATATACATAGATAGATTTACCTGTTATCTCTCTCTCTGTCTCTCTCTGTCTCTCTCTCTCTCTCTTCATCCTAATCGTTTCACACCCTTTTCACTCATTATCTGGCCTCTTCCTCTTCCTATTTCTCTGTTCCTCCCTCTTCCTCTCTTCGCACCCCCACCATCACCCCCCTCCCCCCCTTCCCGAACAGCACCTAACCCCCTCTTCCGTCTCTCCGCCACAGCAGGACTTCTCCAACTCCACCTCCACCACCACCGCCGCCGCGCCCGCCCCTCCGATGATGTATTCACGCCCATCCTGCTCCAGCGCCTCCGCCGCCGCCCTCGCCGCCCTCATGCTCATCTTCCTGGCATCGCCGCCCGCCGCCCACGCCAAACGGTTCGACTGCCAGATGTTCTGCCGCACGACGGGCTTCAGCGGAATGGTGGGCGGCTGCAGGTGCTCCTTCACGCTCTTCACTGCCAAGCGCGCCGTCAGGTGGGTGTTGGGGCGGGGGAGGGGGGGTGGTCGTTGAATGCATGTCAAAGCCGTAGTTATAGATTTTTTTTTTTTTGCACACTTAAAACGAATAAAAATATATAAATAAGTAAATAACACTTGCCCCTTCATGAAAAAAAACTAAATTAAACTAAACAAAACTTGCCACTTGAAAAAAAAACAAACTAAACGAAAGGAAACGAAGCTAACTGAACGCGCCTTCGCCCTCCCGCAGAGACCACAACAGCGTGCCCGGCGAGGCAGACCCTTACTACGAGGCCGCCGAGATGCCCGAAGGAAGCCTCACCGACCTCCTCCGCATGGCCAGGGAGACCCATGAGACCTACTCCCGCGAGGACGCCCGTGGAGATGCCTCCTCCTCCTCCTCGATCTCCTCCTCCTCCTCCGCTCTCGAACCCTCGTCCTCCAAAAGCCACGTCGAGGAAGTGCCCAAGAACCACCCCGTGCGCCTCATGGTTAGGTCCACCGCCGCTCCTCGCGTCCTCGGCTCCTCCTCCTCCTCCGTCGCTGCCAACAGGCTCAGTCGCTCCCCCGCCCCCCAGATGCTAAGCAAGAGGAAGGAGTTCGAGCAGGACCTTGACAACGGCGACACCAGCGACTACTTGAGGTTGCCATACTAAACTCAAAAACAAAAAACAAAAACACTCGCCTTTCTCTTTACTTGAATCAAAATCTCGTTTCTAACTCGCTAACTCTCACTCTCTCTCTCTCTCTCTCTCTCTCTCTCTCTCTCTCTCTCTCTCTCTCTCTCTCTCTCTCTCTCTCTCTCTCTCTCTCTCTCTCTCTCTCTCTCGCTCTCTCTCTCTCCCTCTCCTTCCCCCTCTCCTCTCCCTCTATCCCGACACACTGCCGACAATATCTTTCCGCATAATATACTAAGATGTCCGCCACGAAGTTCTCGAGAAGTGATTGACAAGAAAAAAATCTCTTGCTGATTTAAACAGGCTTATTCCGATACAGTCACAAATATTATACTGTTGAACGTACTCTACAATGTAATACATAATTAGCCATTATATAGTTAATATATACAGCGTATATATATATATATATATATATATATATATATATATATATATATATATATATATATATATATATATATATGTCTATGTATATGTATATGTAAAGCATATACACCAAGTATTTATAGAAATAAAGCATCTTATTTAGGCTTCCCATACTAACATTAGAGAAGAAAATTATATATACACATATATCATGTACGGAACTGTATCTGCATATCCTGTACTCAAGTCACTCTTGCAAGAACAGGACGTCTGGTGCATTTAATATCTTCATGAATAAAACTGACATATTTGAACTTGGACGCATTTTGCTTTGCCTCGCATTTCAGGTTTTTTTGAGTTGGGTTGGGGAGGTAATGGGCAATGGGCAAGGGGTAAGGGATAAGGGGCAAGGGGCAAGGGGAAAGGAGGGAGGGAGGGAGGGGGGAGAGGAAAGGAATGGGAGGTAAAAGACACTCGTAGAAGAAGACAAAGACAAACAGGATAGACGGAAAAGAAAATTATACAAGGGGAGAGGAATTCTTAGTTGTTCAAGACAGAAAGAAGCATTTGGTATTTTCTTTCTTGTTTTTTCTTCTTTTCTTTTCCTTTTTTTTTTTTTTTTTTTTTTTTTTTTTTTTGCTTTGCTAATTACACCTAAGCATTCTAAACCGTAATATATAATTTCTAAATATTCTAAACTCAAGTATATGATTTCTACACAAGCCCAAATATCTCGTTCCTAAACGCTCTAAGCCCAAATTTATCATTTATAAACACTTGAAAGCACAAATTTTCCGGTTTATAAGCTCTTGGAACCCAAAGTTACAATCTAAACCCAAAACAGAATCCCTTTAAGTAAAAGACTGCAGGTAAATGACCAGGGACACTGCTTTTATACACCTTATAAATGTTCTTTTTACTTTTATTGTCATGTTTTTTTTTTTGTTTTTTGTTTTTTTATGGCAGCTTATTCATCTTTTGATTTCAATAGATTTTCATCATTATCTTCATCTATATATTTTTCATTGCTATCATTTTTTATGATTATTGCCAATTGTTATGTTAATTTTCTTTCATTATTTTTTGCTTGTTTAACAACCTCAAATGAGGGAATATACACTATTTTAAGTACACTTTATTTTTCTATCTTTATTAGATAGATATCCGATTAACATTTTTTTTTATCAAGGTTGAATCATTACGATGATTATCCAT